CTGCTACCCTGCGTCTAATGATTTGGTGACCTGGGCGTAGAAGGCCACCAGGTTGGTCTGACAGGACCTGCCGCTAATGAACCCGTGCTGGTTGCCCCTAAGCATAATCTCCCCTGCTGGCCCCTCATGGACATGCACCAGGATAATTCTCTCAAAAAGCTTGCCCAGGATCGAGGTAAGACTAACTGGCCTGTAGTTCCCCGGATCCTCCTTCCTCCCCTTTTTGAAGATGGGAACCACGCTGGTCCTTTTCCAGTCCTCTGGCACCGCACCAGAGCACCACGAGTGCTCGTATAGCCGTGCAGGGGTCCCGCAATGACCACAGCCAGTTCCCTCAGCACCCTAGGGTGGAGATCGTCCGGACCAGCTGATTTGAATACGTCCAGTCCCTCCAGACGTTCCCTGACTAGATCCTCCCTGACCCTTGGCCTAGGTGCGCCTCCCTGTAAGGTTGATTCTTACAGATCCCTAATCCTAAGGACCCTGCCACATATTCATGTGTTATGCAATTAACTGGTTAATCGCACAATAACTTTAAAACGGCCACATGTGCCAGTCATATTATCACACCGTAAAAATGTCCATCCAGCTATAAAGAGAGCCAGGCAACTACAAAGTTGGTGCTTGAAAATGCGTGACAACTTTATAGCTGGTTTTTATCCAGTTTTTGCTTAAAAGTGGGGCAGGGCTCTAACAGTCACCCTGGACCCCACTCGCCAGCGGGGACCTTCTTGAGGCTCCTGTTGTATTGTGTAGACTAGAGACTCCTATGAGGCAAAAGAATGGGTCCTGTCCTGAAGAAGTGCCGGCCCGTGCAGTACTGTCACAGCTCTGGGCACACAAGGATGGAAACCAGCCTGGGCCCCAGGCCTCAGCGCTAGTCCTGCTGCACTTGGCACCTCTCCTCACCTCTGGTTTAGCACTCTTCCAGCCTAAGACTCTGGAAAGGCAGGAGGATTTTGCAATAAGCAGATCAACCCCAGTGGCCCCTCAGGCAGCAAAATTTAATGTTAAGCATGAGGCCTAGAAGCCAAATGGAGCCAAGCGGCCCCTTCCACCTTGCCTTCTGGGAGCTGACTCCTGGCAGTAGGAGTCCTCTACAACAGACCCAGGCAGGCTGCTGGTGAGACAGCTGGGCAGACAGCCATGGGAGACACTGCCACACTGATATGTTCTTCCCCATGGAGATGCCACGAAGTCTCACAGCGCTACTTGGAGGTGCCACCAAGGAAGCCGATTCCCCTTAAGGGTTCCCGGCCACTCTCAGTGTCCCTAAATGGGGGACTCGTGTACAGGCAGTCCTCGACTTCCAACTGCTCAAGTTGTGACAACGTCACTTACGGCAATTACCACAGTGTTTCCAGGTGCCGACCGGTTTCGACTTTACGACGCTGGACACAGCTGCCTCCAACTGGTAAGTCAGTTGTGGTAGGGCATGCAGGGGCAGATCAACACCCCGCAGTGATGGAGAGATTGGGGCTGGGGCTCCCGGACGAGCAGCAGCTTCACCCCAGCTGGGCAAGTGGCTGCAGGGTATGGTGGGGTATGTGCCCCTGGATCGGGGTGGTGGAGTGGGGGCCACAGAAGATTTTTGGGTGGCACCCCTCCCACCACCACCCCCACCACTGCTCATTTGGGAGGCGCGGGGAGGTCGAGCTGGCTTCCACCGCTGTGCACCACTCGCCCAGAGGCCGGGCAGCGGCACAGTCTTACGCTGGCCCCGCGCTGGCTGGGCTAGTGGCAGGGGGCACAGCTTCCACCACCCAGCCCCACCTGCCCTGCACAGAAGCTGGTCACCATGTGCTTGTGCAAAGATTCAAGGAGACGCATATTAACTTCTGAAGAGCCACATGTGGCTCCGGAGCTGCAGGTTGGTCACCCCAGCTCTAGGCAAACACTCAGGGGGACCTCAGCACACCAGCAAACCTAGGAACACTCAACAGCAGAAAGTCGGGCCCTGGCTGAGGGAAGATGGGCTCAGAGGAGCTGCAACAATGGTTACAGACACTTACCAGGAAGAGCAGAGCAACAACCAGAGGGGTCGGGAGCAAAGATCGTAGGGCCTGGCCCAGCGTACTGCTCAGCTCCCAGCCAAGCAACTGGGAGAATGCAAAGGTGCTAACATGGGGGTTAAATCATCCCTACACGCCCCCACTCTAGGATCCTGTGACCATCTGTTGAGCCATGTCAACTTGAGGACAACGTGGAATAGGAAAGATCCCACTGGAGCTGGACAGGAGGGAGTCAGACTGCAGAGCAATGGGAGGGGAAGGGCTCCGGGCCAGAGCTCAGCTGACCCAATGGTTATAACAATTCCTCCTTACATCATCTGCTTCTACAGCAGCTTGTTAACGAGGCCCCTCGGGAATCCCCAGAGTCTAACACACAAGTCGCCCTTCTCTGGACTTCCTGGGAAAGCAACTCAAGGCTTCCACCTGCAGCGCCCTGGGCGGTCACAGGAATTTAGTGACACATGATAAATAGCAGAGTGGGAGCACATAAGGGGCATGAAGGACTTTTGCCGCAAAGGCACCGGAGCCCCTGCCATTGCCTGCACTCATGGCATGCTGGGCAGGGGCAGAAGGAAGTCCAGCACAGCTCGGCATGTGTAGTTGGGCAGGCAGGAGTAGGCCCTCTCCCCTGGCCCCTGGAGGAGAGCAGCCTGGCCAGCCCCTGCGCTTTCCTAACAGCAGGCAAAGCTCCTGCCAAAAAAGTGCTGATGTGGTGGAATGTGCTGGGCCAGCAGAACAGCTCATTCCTGGAAAAGCAGCAACTCAGCGGGAGAGCAAGGAGAGAAGACAAGGGGAAGGGGGGCAGGGGGAGCGTCTGAACGCTTCGACCGCCACACCTGGGGAACAAGAGTCACAAAACAATCTGCTCACCAGCATCCCCTCCTGCAGGCCTCTGCATACAGGGAAGCTATCCCAGCACAGCCCCTTCGCTCACAGACCCATCCTGTCCCTGTCAACAGAGCAGCGCTGGGAAGGCCCAGGACACCTCCAAGGACTTGGTGCTGGGTAGACATTGCTGGAAGGAGGAGGAATCATCACTGGCTCATCTTCCCACCACATTCATTATCAGCTTGCATTTAATTACAGGTCTGCCCTGGGAGGCAACAAAACTGACCCTGCCCTCATCTCATTGACCATCTCGTACCACCTTCTCCCCTGCCCCAAAGAGCAGCGTAAGGATCTCTCAGGAAACCAGGAGACAGAGAAGTGAGACTCAGCATCAGCAACTCAGAGTGAAGACGATTTGCTAGACTGGAGTCCCGTAACCCAGGGTCTCTCCCATCAGTTCTCCCAGCCTCTCATGGAGCAGCCAGCCACGATGGGTTCACACAGCAGAGGACAGTGGATTGGGCTGGAAGCTTTATCAATATGGCTATGGAGCCAAGAAGAGGGAAGCCTAAAGTGTGCTGGGCTGGACAATGGCAGGCACTGCACCCACCATCAGGGTACCTCTGCCTCCTAGAGTGCAGAAGCAAGTACCCACAGGTCACAGGTGAGGAGGCTGCCAACTTAGGAACTTTTGGCATTTACTCCCAAAGAAGAACCTCTCTCAGGCTCAGTGGTTACTCTCCTGGAGGCAGCCTGATTTACCTGGCCATGAAGGGCTTCACAAGGGCTGAGAGCAGGAGCTTTGGGAAGAGGCCAGGTCCTGCACCCTTTTCTCAATAGATTCAATCTCCAGATGGCCCTTTAGGTCATCAACAGCACTGCCTCTCCTGAGCAGCACTGGCCTCTCTCATCTGCAAAGCCAACCGGGAGGGGAAATCAAGAAAGCACCATATCACCCTCCTTACAGGAAACACCAGAAAGCATTTGGGCCAGACAAGGAGAAGGATCCCACCACAGTAAATGTGAACCACCTGGACGCTGCAGGAGATGGTGCAAGAAACAGCTGAAGCATCCTGACTTCTGACCTCCATGTTGTCACTCCCTTGTAAGAAGGGGACAGCGTTAGCCCATCTCCCTGTAGGCCTCAAATGCAGGAGAGGAAAAAGCTTGCAGGCCAGCTCAGAATGATTTCTAAACACAGCTGAAGCAAGTGCTGGCCAACTCCTCCCTCCACAACTCCAGCCTTTGGGACCACCACTCCTGGAAAGGAGACTCACCTCATTAATAGAAAAGTGCCGCAAAAGGGAAAGAACTTAGCGTAGAGCAGCAAGACACCAGGAGGCGGATTAGACAATCAGAGCTAAACCTGCATAGGTATAGGCAGGCATGGAGCGTAGGACCTGCCAGTCCCAACAGACTGCACCAGAGGAAGGCATGAGAAACCCACAAGGCACACAGACATCGAACAGGCTGATTCAGACTAAATTCAGCCACCTTGGCTTCTTCAGAGTGGCTCAGGCCTCAACAACGCAACCACCAAATGCCAGGCCTGACCTTTCAGCTGGGCCAGCTTGGAGCAATCCACCTAGCAGAGATTGTTTTCCTGGAAAACCCAACTTGCTTGGTTGTGTCCTACCCTTTGCCCAGCCCTTGGGATGTGGTAGGCAGCAGACCTGGCATGGACTCCCAACCAGGGGAAGAGAACATTGCTCTTGGCAACCTGGAGGAACAAAGAAAGAGAGATGATTTGATACTGAGTAATGAGAAAAAATATGTGCTGGGACTGAACCAGATACCTGGCAAGTGAGGTCACAGACTGAGGACAGCACTGACCTTGGCCAAAGCAACCAGCATCAGCTTGGTCAAATGCGTGGGGCAGCTGCTTCTGACCGTCTGGAAGCTCCTTCTCAAAGTCACTGCGCTTCGTCTCCTTTGCTTTGATGATCATTGGAAAAGTAGGGCTGGAAGGGACCTCACCAAGTTGCATCTAGTCCATCCCCCAGCTTAAGGCAGAATCATCCCTGACTAAACCATCCCGGCCAAGCGTCTGTCTAATCTGCTCTTGAAAAATTTCCAGGGATGGAGATTATGTCACCTCTCTAGGTAATGCATACCATTGCCTGACCATCCTCACAGCCAGGAAGATTTTCCTAAACTCCAACTTAAATCTCCTTTGCTGCAGTTTGAGGCCATTACGCTTAGCCCTGTCCTCTATAGCTGTACAGCAACATCCATCTCCTTCCCCTCTGTAACCGCCCTTCAGGTATTTGAAGACTGTTATCAAATCTCCCCTCAGTCTTCTCTTCTCCAGACTAAATCATTCTTTCAACCTTTCCCCAGAAGTCATGCTTCCTGTATGAACAAACAACTCTAGAAGTGGGGTGGAAAGTAGTTGCAAGAACAATAAAGCCTTTTTCACCACAGGTTCAGAGATTTACTGCTGACTTATTGCAGCAATGATACAGTATTCACGCAGAATGCCCCCCCTTGCGTTAAAAGTCACCGGGAGCATTTAGAGCCAGTACAATGCATTGAAAGCCCAGGAGACGCATCTGCCTCTCAGGAGCCAGCACAGCAAGACAGGCCTGTGATCGCTGTACCCGCCTCATCCAGAAGCAGAAAACTCTGCACCTGGTGAACCTGCAAGCACACATATGCAACTAGCAATTCCCCAATATGAAGCGGTGCCTAGGCACTGGCCACAGGGAAGATGTCAGCTGAGGGAACCGGGAGATTCCCGAGGGCCCCGGCGAGAGCCATCCACGTGGGAAAGGCAATCCAAGTGGACAGCACACACACACTTTGATTCCTGGGGTGAGAATCAAGGTGCTCATCGCAGTCAATCCGCCTCCCTCCACAACTACCAGGTAGGTCCCATTTCAGGAGACTCAGCCCTCTGGCCGAACCCACAGAAATCCAGCTCTCCCAGGGTTATTGACAATCACCAAGAACTCAAAGTACAATGAACTACGGCTCTCTGTTGGGAGAGGAGGCCCATGGGCAAATCCTTACCAATAGTCCCAAAGTCCTGATGTCGTAGTCTTGGGCCAGCCCTTCCCAGATCTGGGCCAAGAACTGCAAGCTACTCTCTTCCCTCCTCTGAACCAGCTGTTTTTTTCCCCTTTGAGGCTTCACCTTTCATGCATCACTGGTATAACAGGGTTGAGCCAATTAATACCACAACAGCTCATTAACCTGGTGACGACTAGGGTGGGGTCTATATAGCTCATCATCACAGCTTCAGGGAAAACAGGCCTATATTCTACAAGTCTTGTCTCTACATAAATGGGGACAGCCCCCAGGGGAGTGGAGAGGCCCCTGTTACAAAGCCAAGGCAATGCACAGGTGAGTCACTTAACGCTTCCTGACTAGCAACTACCACCCTTCTCTGCAGGCTCAAAGCACTGACCTCATCAGGCCACAGGTTCCTGCTTATTGCGACATTTTGAGCATCCCAACAGGCTACTTAACTGCGGCCAAATGCACTGAAGACACAGTTGGCTGCTCTGGACCGGCCCCTGGAAATCACTGCACATTCGGGTGCAAGATGCTCCTCTCTAAGGGGTGCGAGACGCCCCAGGAGCAAGCAGTACGGTTTGCTGGAGCGTGAGTCGGTTTAGGCTACTCCACGCTGCAGCAAGAGAGCAAAGGTGCTTTCCCTCGTCTTTATGGCAGCCTATCGGGTATCTGAAGACTGCAATCGTGTCCTGTCTTAAGGACCTTTTCTGCAAGCTGGACATGCCTAACTCCTTCAGTCTCTCTCGTACGACTTGCCTTCTAAGCCCTTGATCATCCTTGTCGCCTGCTTCCGGACGCTGTCTAACTTCTCCATGCCCCTTTTAAAAATATGAAGCCGAAAACTGCATTTATTAACAACCCCGTGTAGAAGCGGGTCATTGGCTGCTTTACCTGCGGCAGGTTTGGGTGTTATGTCTCGTCTTGCATCAGGGTTGATGGTAGTCCTATGAAGATTATGGATTGTATGGGATGGTTTGGATAGGACTAATCCTGCCACAGGCAGGGGGCTGGACTCGAATAGATGACCGCTGGAGGTCCTGCTTCTCTATGACATGATGATACCCCATAGTCAGAGACCTCCTAAAAACCAAAGGGGAGAGGCTGGAGTCTCGGAGGAGGGAGAGGATACGGTTACCAGAAAGCATAATGTGGGCCGCCAGCGAAAGCTCAGCGACAGGAAAGAGCCCTGCCTGCGGATTTCTAGAAAGTCTTTTCCTAGAAAAGGCCCGAAAGCCAAACTGCTTAAAGCAGTTAGAGCCTGTGCCAGGACAACGCGCTAGAAGCAGCACAGCAGGGACCAAGGCCTGCTTCTAGCCCCCACAAATCTGGCTACAGCCTGCACTGAGACGAGAAAATGAGGTGTCGCATTGTCGCTGTTTCTTTAATTAATTAATGACACCTCAAAGTACCTAACACGGCAGAACCCTCTAGGGAAGTGCAGCCCTGGCAATCACATCAGGATAAACGCTAGCAGCAAACTCCACCTTTTCCTAGTGAAGATAAGGCTCAGAGGACCTTGTTCCCCATTTAACTCCTACCCCCTTCTTCAGCGCCCAGTGCTGGAGCGTCTTGCAGGCAGCAGCTGGGTTCACAGCTAATATGTCATTGTGAAGCCGGCTTAGGAAAGCAGCCCACAAAATCCTAGCAGAGTCCTCAGGACATCCCTGTTAGCAGTAACCCAGCAGGAATACTGTCTGCACAATAAATCCCTCTGGAATCCAACACCAGGAGGCTGGAATAGCATTTCCCTAGTAAACAGCAGCTAAATCCTTGCCAAACACTGATTTCCGCACCCCCCTTCCCCACACAGTCAGTCAGCATCGCCCCCGGGTTGCAGAGGCACAGAGGGAAATGCCGTCACCCATGGTCAGAGGAAATCAGTAAAATCATAAAATCCGAGTCCTCCAATGCCCAGGTCTGTGCTTTAACCTCATGTTTCCCTCCAGCCTAACCCCATCCAGAGCGCAGCTCCCACGGCCCAGTCCTGCTTAGCTGACCCTCGCAGCCCAGACTCAGACAGTGCCCGGCAGCAGCTGCTGGGCATTAGGGAGCAGGGAAATCCCAAACGGCCTGCATTAGTCACACCCTGCGCTGCCCATGTGTCACCGAGACAGCTGCCAGCAAGCAGGGAGGTTAGCCAGCAAAGCCGCTCCTCTCCGCACCCCAGGAACAGGACCAGATGCCAGAAAGGAAAGGCTTTCACGGCCCAGGCCTGCCCCCAGCTCCTGGGAGAAGCTGCTCTCTAGGGGGAAACCCAGAGTCCCTGCTCCAGGAGACATGAGAAAGCTTATCCCTTTGCACAGATGCAAGGCTTCGGTGCAGCTCAGCATCTGAAACACCAGGGCTGACAACACGGATGCTGGGAGTGACGGTTCAGCTGCCCCTCAAAGGTACCTGCAGTCGTTGGGTCACCTAAGAGGTAAAGCTCCGCCAGGGAGGCAGAGGTCAGAAAGGGGAGATCCAACTCCACTGTGGATATAACACACCCTCCGAACGATGCACCTACTGCTTCCAAGAAGAGCTTGGGAGAGGCCCGGGGCATGTTTGCCACTCAAATAACTGATTGAAAAATCCCACCCGTGCCAACTTTGAACCTCATCGCTTGCAGGGCAGAGCTCCAACTGTGCCTGCCGAGGCCAGAACAGCTCTGCTCCTGGGCCTCTGTAAGCACCGCATCTGTAACAGCACAGGGCTGGAGACATGGAAGACAGAAACCAGACCAAGAGCTTCAGAGCAGCTGCTCAGGGAAATGTTGATACTTCATCTTGGAGTCACCAAAGGTCCATGAGTCCCATGGGACATGGACGGCACGCATGGTTTTCAGCAAGCCTGGGCCCCTATATAAATAGGAATAACACAGATCTTTCCTGTGGATGTATTCAGAGGGCCCTGTAGATTTTGTCATGGGCCCGCATCATCTTAGAGAATCCTGCACCCCCCAAATTCAGATGCAAGTGCCCCCAAAATACACCAATTGGGGGAAGGGGGCGGGTTAGGCTTATTTTAAATATTGTCCCGGAAATCTGTCCATCTCTGAAGTCCTCTCTCGCGTGCACGTCCTCCCAACAGACCTGAGGTGGTGGGGCTGGGATCACACGATAATGCAGCTGAGCAGGACCACACCCCCAGCACTTTGGAAAACCTCAGTGCACAGAGCAAAGGTCATGAGAACGGGCTCCAAATAACAGAACGCAGGCTGGGCCGAGGAGGAAATCAACAGGAAGCGCCCAACAAACAGGGCCAGGTCGTCACCACGCGGCGTCGGCCTCCCTGAAGCCCAAAACTGCATCCAGAAAGCACCCGGGCAGTCTGCTACCCCGCGACCTTCCGCAGCGTTCGGCAAACCAAAAGCAGGCCAGACGGGCTGAGCCGCAACAGCCGCTAGGCAGGTAAAAGCCACTGTCCTGGACCAGGGTGCTGGTCTGTTCTCATGGACCTTGACACAGGATGCAACCAAGGTTAAACCAAGGGCAAGGGAGGCAGGATAAAACCAATTCTCACCCTTCCAGGGGTATCCCCAGCACAGGCTCGGGCAGCCCGTCAGTTCCAGCACAGGTCCGACAAATCTTCCCTAGCTGCCGCATGGGAGGCTTCCAGCTACCATCAGTCATGGTAGCCTCGGAGAACCCAGGGGGATCTCCCCAGGTCCTCTACATCGCTTCACGTGTGGCCTCGATGACCTCTGCGGGGAGGATAGAAGTCAAGCTGGTCGGCAATGCGAAAGAGCCGTGGGACCCAGCAGGTCTGCCCATCCAGAGGCTCCTCTTCACACTGCCCTGCTTTCCTGGCTGAGGAACACCACGGCAAACTCTGGTGCACAACCCGGCTCTGGGTTGTAGCACTGCAGATCCAATGGACCGGCTCCTATCAGCCTCCTGGGGCTGCTGACTTGTTTCTTGCTGCTAATACAGTGGTCCTTGTCCTAGTCCTAGGCCTCCGCTGCTTAGGAACAGCCCTCTCCTGGCTCCAAAATTAGCATCACAGTTGTGATGAGTGTCCGACCTCTGGGGAACTGGACTCAGATCCATAGGGGAGACAAACCGTAGAGCTGTCCAGGAAGATAAGCAGGTGGGGAATCCAACAGCACACACATCCAGTGCACAGGAGCAGTGTTTGAGGAGACTGAGTGACTGACCCTGGGCCACGAGCACGAGACACAGGGTCTGGCTTGTTCTGCACCACGAGCTCCAAGCCCCCCACCTGTTTTCTACCTCTGAGCTTCTCAATAAACCCCCCTCGTCCTGCCCCTTGCTGCCTCTAACAAAAAGAGAGCTAGCCTCAACTCACAAAGGACAACCTGGAAACCCCATGAAAACGCACCCTGCTGCTGGAGGTGGAACAGAGCTGAGCTGCATTCAGAAAGGCAACGTAACAATTCATTTTAAATGGAGACTGAGTAGCGGCACTGTATTGTCGCCAGCAGCTTAAGAACTGGGCAAACGAAAGAAAAGGGCACCAGAAAGCCAACAGGATCGTTCTCCCAGCAAGCGCCGGGGGAGCACACTTACTGCCCCGACCAAGGCCAGACACACACACCCCAGAGCCCCTGGCAGGCTACTCCATGCATGAAGCCTCCTTCCTTCACTCCAAGCCCCAGACTCGCTGCTGCTAGCTACCATCTAAAGGCTCGAAACCACACTGTTCTGCAAACGCAGCCCAGGGACTGAAGCCAACTGAAGGCTGGCCACAGAAAACTGCCTTTCTGGCAGAGTTGTTTCCACGCAGGAACCTTGCAACAGACAGTGCAGAGCAAGCAGTGAGGAACACAAGTGTGTAGGGTCATGGGCACACAAGGGTTAAATCCAGCTGGCCCATGTTTGAAGTCGTGCTAGTCGTGACCCAGTGCAGGCAATGACCAAGACGTTGCTGGCAGTCTGTGAGTGGGGTTAATCGGGTTTGGAAGTGGGCACATAATGCCAGAGCAAACCATCTCAGAGTCCAACTGAGCTGCAGCAGGAGGTGGCTGGGTACAGCGATCCCATTTCTTTCTGCAGGGGAAGGAGAGCAGAAACCTTTCAAATACACTCATAAAACCAAAACGTGTTGAAACGACCATGTTCAGATTGAGGGAGGTCAGGCTTTTGAGCACCCTCTGACCCAAGAGGCATAAAGAAACCTCTTCAGCAAGCGCTTTGCCAACATCAACACATCTGCACAAAACTATTCGGCTTTGACAGAGCAGCAGTTTTAAAGGAGAATGCCCCGGTGAAAACATAGGCTGACCACCTCTAGCTGCAAAAAAGAGTTCGGTCGCTGTCGTTCATTGTCTGGATAGGGCAGACAAGGCCTTGAGGGGACTTGGCTAGCCTGGGTTTCAGACCACCACCCTTGGGCAAAGAAGCCAGGCTCCGAGTGCCATTGAACGTGGCTGTTGCTAGCCTGATTCCAACCACAACACAGACAAAGAAGGACACCTACAGAGCCTGCGACAGCCGTGAGCAGTGCCAGGGCCTGGCCACGTGAGGCACAGACAATGGGAGCGAGGGAGGGAGTGATTATCCGCAGCTAACTTTCCCCCATGTGCTCCTCAGCCCTGGCACTCTCACTCCCAACACTTGGAACGAGCTTTTGCAGCAGCTGCGGATCCGTTCCGGATTCACGTGAAACTCCCCCCGCCGTAGGGGATATCATGGAAACCCGTCTTCGGAGGAGCAGGCAGGAGCCGGCCAGCCCTGGCAACCTCTGGGACAGGAAACACAGCCGGCATTCGGGCGTCCGAGTAAGGCTTCAGCTTCAACTCGAGCCACGGCATCCCCTTGAAACAGCAAAGGGGCTGCTGTGTCTGCCACGCTAAGCAATGGAGCCGGTGATACGTGAGCTTCTGGGACCCTACCACTGAGTGCTGTCCTCCCTGAGCCTCACAGGCGCTCTGGCCAGGTATGGGGGAGGCAAATCAACCTGCAGATCATTAGCCAGCCACACCGATTTTGCCCCAGTCCCTTCCGCGAAGGATTTCAAGGCCCAGTCAATGCAACAGAGCTGCACCAAGCAACCGACACTGGAGACCGCTACAGTTTGGCTCATCCTGCCCGCCTCGTCTTCTGTGCTCCTTTGTTTTTTAGCAGGAGCGCACAGGACACTCCAAGAACAAGCCCCCCTTTGTCCCACCAGGGAATTCACCTGAGCAGGAAACACGCAGCAACAGAGCTGTGCTCACTCCACTGAAAGGGAAGCCCCAGCTTTCCACTGGAAGAGATTAATGGGCACCAAGCAGCCCCCAGGGACAGGACAGACAAGGACCTGGCCATCACTGGCTGCAGAAGGACTGGAGATGAAGGCGAGCTCCGCAGCAGGGCAGGCAGTGACTTAACCAGACCCGCTGCAAGGAAAATAAGAACGCATACAAGTCCAGGGAGGTGCCCAAAGTCTGCGAGCATCCTTCCGACAGATTCTCTACCCGCTCTTTCTCTACAAGGAATCCGCTCGGTGACAGCAGCATCCAATGCCAGGAACACGGCGCAGTCAAGGGCTTTCTGCAAAGAGGGAAGTTCTCGCTTAGGAAACAAAGAGCGGGCACCCGGAGAGCCAGAGGGAAGCCGAAGGCATGGTGCCAGCTGGTCACTACAGGTTTCCCTCGCTTTATGCTGTACATGCGTTCCTGCACAACTCAAATTGGCATAAAGGGAACCCACTTTACAATGTAACAAGTAGGGACGTGTTCCAAGACCTCAATTGTGCTGACCCCCTCGATTGTACTGACGTGGCATTGCACCACTCCTGGGGCAGCTGCAGCTCCAGAGCACGGGCACCAGCTGCCCCGAGCGGCGGCCGCGGGCACTGCTGCTGGGCGGCTTCATGGCTTGCGCTGACAGGGCCGGACCGGGCCAGCGCTGCAGCCTGGCCTGGGCACCACCACCCGGCTCAGCCCCACAAAATAATTTTTTCTATCTCCGCCTTGCACAAAGCAGCTGGCAGTGGGTTTCCAATTGTATAAGAGTGAATTTACCTCGCCTATATTGAATTGTTGGTATAAAAAGGGTCATCGCATAAGAGCGAATTCGCACGTACATCAAGCAAGGGAAGCCTGCATGACTCGGGGACTGGCACAGCGTATCAAGTTGAGGATCAGTTCCCCGTTTCTACACACTGTCAACCAGGACAGAGGGCCTTGGCAGAAGGATCTTACAATGAAAATCAATCAGTCAGCCTCCCGGCAGACATCAACACATCTCCCCGTGCACATGTGCAAGAGATGAGGTCGCCACATACCACCACCGTCTGACCCGCACGCTGGGAATTCCTGCAGGGCCTGCTTTGTTCTGCCTCCAGAAAGTGCTCCTCATCTCAGCCTTGAACCCAGCTCTGGAGAGCCGGGCAAGACCTAATCCAGGCCTACTTCATTATCAAGCACGTGATTAGGCAGACACCCGTTTTCACTCACCAGCTGAGACCCCGGAATCGTTCACAAGTTAAAATAGGAAACAACTCTGCAAGAGAAGAATCAGCAGGAGCAGCAGCCACAGCCCACCCCCCTGCATGCCAGCCCGACTTGCTTAAATGATACAGCGTTGGAGGGTTTGCCCATCTACAAGAGATCAGGGGAGCCCAGGGCTTATAAGAGGCAGCTGAGAAAGAAGAAACAGAAGCAAGCAAAATAATCAGAAGGGTCCCTCCATGCCAGGCTTCTCCCAGTACACAGGGACTTGGGAGGGAAAAAAAGGAACAGAAGAGGAGGGACATTAAAACTTTTGGGCAGACCTAGAGCAGTGATTCTCAACCAGGGTGCTGTGCCGGCTTGAGGTGCCATGAGATCCTTTCATGGTACTGGTGGGGTGCCATGCCATCCTAGCACCGTTGGTGTGTTACCCGGGATTCACATGAAAAACCCAGAGGGACTGAATAAAAATCCATAGCGTCAAAAGCAGTCTGAACTTTTGCAGTCTTTCTTGATTCTTTGTAACAGAAGAATCGCTCCATTATTTTACTGTGGTCACAAAATGAACGGAAGGGAAGAGCTGACGTTTTCTGACGGCTGCCTTGAGCCCAAAGTTGAGAACCACCGGCTGCGAGAGAAAACTTGGGCCAATTGCTAAGGGCTTGTCTACATGCAGAAGTTGCCTTTGAATTTGTCAAACCAATTGCAGCTCAACCAGAACCAGCCCGTGCAGACACCCATCTAATGGCCTGAGACGGGTTATACTGCTTAGGTTACAACCAGCCAAACCAATAAAAATAGGCTGTTATGTAGACTTAGGAGTGTCCACACACACAGCTGTGGACCAGATATGCATCAGTTTACCTGACCTGATTTCAAACCACCCCTTGAGTTACATCAGTGTAACCACATGGGTAGAGAAGTTTTCATGGCGAAGGAACTGCAGCTCATAGTGCCCAATGCAGGACCCCTTTTCCCACATTGACTCGGGGTGGGGGGGAATTTTCATCCATTACCAAGACCCGTGGCCTGGCTGAACGATTTTGCAGGCTAACAGGAGTACCGGGAGGTCAGGTCTTTGTCACGCACATGCACAAGCACCCTGAGCAATTGAGGTGTTAGGTATTTAAAAAAAAACTCAAGTCAGACCTCCTTCAAGCTAAGCGCAATGCAAATGCACACCCAGAGCCTTGGCCCCAAGACACTCAGCGTCTAAGACAGCGATTCTCCCTTGGGTGTTTTTCAAGGACGCTGCAGGGTGCCATACCACGTTAGCACGGTTAGGTTTATAAACATGATTCACAAGATAAACCCAGAGATTTCAAATAGAAACCCGCAGTTGTGGGCTCAGTTCTTTGCAACAGAAAAACTGCTTTATTATTTTTCTTTAAGCAAAAAAAAAAGATCGAAAATGAAGAGCTGGCATTTTCCAGGGGGTGCCTCGAGTCTGCAAAAGTTGAAAACCACCGGTCTAAGGACTTCAAGTACTTATTTTCTCCCATCTGTTCCCTGAGGTCCCACTTTACAGACGAGAAATTGAGAAAATAAGTGGTCAAGAAGAGGAGTCACCTGGGAGAGGTATAGCAGAGCTGGGAACGGGACCCAGCCTAGCGCTTTCACCCCAAGACCTTCCTCCCCCTGACCAGCAGGAGCGCCAGGGACACCCGAGAGCAGTCTCATTCAACTCCTGAAGACGCTGGAGTCCAGGGGCAGCGGACAAAGGTCTGCAAACCACAGCGCTGGGCTCACACCCCCCTCCCACCACTACTTGCTGCTGTTGCCCCACAGTTCGGTAACAGGCTCCGATGTCCAGCTAGGGAACTATCACGGTTACTCCACGCTGATGAGCTCAAGAAACACGTTGTCTCCTCTCTATGTAAACCTCCCCTCCCCACAATTTATCAGGCGATTCTTTTCTTGGGTTCCTTTTTTACAAAAAACACCACTCGGGTCCACGGGCCAAGGCTGGGCACCTTTCCCTTTGACTAGCATTAGCTTCCTGTGCAGCCTTGCACCCCACACCCGACAAAGCCTTGGCGCATATTTCTAAGGAAACGTAAGGCCCGAAGCAGCATCGCTGTGACCCCGATTCTCACAGCCAACAAATACAGACGAGAGAAACAGCAAGGAAAGCCCACGCACTGCGATGGCTGCGCTGCCTCTTTGGACATGGGAGGAGCTGACGGGAGCTCCCGAAGGAACACCAGACCAGTTGTCCAGCCTGGACAAAAGTGGGAAAGGCAAGATAATTAATCAGACCCAGGCCGAGGACTGGGGAAGAAAGGCCAGGGCTCTATTACAGCAGATAAAACCTGCCTCTGGGAGAAGGTAAAACGCCTTCATCCTAAGTGATGGAACTGCAGAGAACTCATCCTCGTGCCACACGAGATTTGGGGGAGCTTTGCTCTCAAAAGCAGGGCTAAAGTTTCTACTTTCTCTCCGGGCAGCTGCCATGGGACCTCCAGGCAGACAAAACGTTGCAGCTGCTCAAAGGGTCCTTGACGCAAACACCTTTCGAGATGTTTTCCCGGGTGCTCCCTCCACACGGGTGCTGGGGAAGGGGGCACTTTAGGGAAAGCAGCAGGCTGCCCGGCAAGAACCGAGGTGCAACAACCGCACGCAGATACACCGCGACTCATGCAACGATTCTTAACCTCGCTGTGAGGTCACCGCAAAACGTTATGACCCCACCTCCCCATCTATCTCCCCGTCTAGGTTGGAAAAGGAAGACCCCTTCAGTTCTAGCTCTCCGTAGTCCAACGCAAGGCTGGTCCCCCAACGGTTTATGGTTTTGCTTTCTACCACTAGTCACCAAACCTCCTCAAGCAATAGGGTTCCCACCCCCTCCCTGGAAACGACCCCACAGGTGCATGGGCCTGTCCCGCTTGTTCCCCTGTTGCTTCTTTGAACAAGGAGGTTTTCTTCCATTCTGGACAGCTCGTTTCCAAAGTGCATCCCTCCAGGTGGGGCTTCCCTAGGGCCAGAGGCAGAGGGACCTTCCCCTCCCAGCTCCAGACCACCCTGGCTTTCCTCCACGCCTGCGATACCTGGACAAAACCACACTGCCCACTTTATTCCACCCCAGGTCAACTGCAGACTTCATCTGCTGCACTGCTCACTGCCTTGGTGCCTCTCATCCATGCCTGCTCCTTGACTCCCCGCCCCCCCTGGGAGGACCAGGGGTTCAGGTTATTTTCCCCGGATGCATTAGCTGTATTTGCCCCCGCCGGATCCGATTTCATTGTTTACCGCCCATTCCTAATCGTGCCGAGGCTCCTTCTCATTTCTCTGGTTTCTGCAGCTCCTTCCAATTTTGCTTCACCTGCAAATTTCATTCATCTGCCCTATGCCTCCTCTTCTAGACCATTTGTGAAGCTATTATTTTTTTTAATTTAATTTGTATCCCAGGCCAAATTAGCCCAAGCTGATTCCGAATGCAAGAGGCCAGAACCAGACGTGGGCCTGCTACCGGCAAACATCCTCCACCCGCACCCGGGGCTTCACATTCCCAAATCCTCTGGCGGGCGTCCTCCGTGCAGGCCCGAGCCCGGAGCCGGGCGCCCCGAGTTTTGCTGGCCCGTAGCCGTGCGGCCCTGGGGAGGAGACTCCCGTGTCTGGCGGGCACCGAGCCACGCCGAGCAGGTCAGGAAAGCTGCGGTGTTTCCCCTGCCGGGTTACGAAGCCACGACGCGTGTCCCGCGCTGGTGAAGGAGAGCAGGACTCCCCGCAACCGCAGAGCCCGCTGCCCGCGCCTCACGGCGGTGCCGGCGCTTTTCGCGCCGCCCGGCTTCGCGGCGAGAGCAGCGGCGTCGAGCAGGCTGGGGGGCGAGCGCCGCCCGGGGGAGTCAGCCCGCCCGGGAAGGCGGC